TCCTTCCCCTTCCCCTCCCCACAACAGACACCCTGTGAGGTAAAAGAAGAAGAAGAGATTGGATTTATACCCCACCCTTCACTACCCGAAGGTGTCTCAGAGCGGCTTACAAACTCCTTTCCCTTCCCCTCCCCACAACAGACACCCTGTGAGGCAGGTGGGGTTGAGAAGGCTCTTTCGAGGACTGCTCTTGAGAGAACAGCTCTGACAGAACTATGGCTTGCCCAAGGTCATCCAGCAGGTGCAAGTGGAGGAGTGGGGAATCAAACCTGGTTCTCCCAGATTGGAGTCCGCACACTTAACCACGACACCAAACTGGCTTGGTGCTTGGTGGGCGCTCAGAAAGGTGTTGCCCGTGGGGGGACCCCAGTATACTCTTTAAATCATCCATCAAGCCCTAGCGTTTATCTGTATTCTTTCCTGTCGCTCCGGACACGGCAATCAGATCTGGCATATTCGGGACAAATGACTCTGCATTATTCCAAGGACATTAGAGAGTGATTCAATTATAATGCCGACATGAAAGTTTGAATTAGATTTGGTCTCAGGGAAACTCTCTGTGTGTCGGGCAGGGATACAGTTAATGCTGAAAACAAGGGCCCATTAATTTTTTTTTTTACCCTGGCAGTGAAGCCCCTGAGCCCCTGAACACTTGCTATATGCTTTCTATTACAGAACGGTAGGCTGTTGGTCCAGCTCTGTGTCTGAAAAGGGCTGTCGAGTTGCAGCTCATTTATGGCCACCCTGCAGGGTTTTCAAGGCAAAAGAGAGGTGGTTTGCCATTGCCTGCCTCTGCACAGCAACCCTGGACTTCCTTGGGGGTCTCCCATCCAAGGACTAACCAGGGCTGACTCTGCTTAGCTTCCGAGAGCTGATGCGATCGGGCTCGCCTTAGTCCATCTAGTTCAGTATAATCTACTCTGATTGGGAGGGATTCTGATTCACTTTGAGCAGAGAAGGTCTTTTCCCGGATCCTGGCTGTTACCCACTTTTTGCATGGAAATGCCAGGGACCGAACCTGGGACCCGCTGCCTGAAAAACCTACTTGCAAAGCCACATGGCCCCACTGAACCGCAGCCCCTCCTACTGCTCTCCCTCATCCACTTAAGCTAGGATTTTCCCCAGGAGAGCCAGTTTGGTGTAGCGGTTAAGTGCGCGGACTCTAATCTGGGAGAACCGGGTTTGATTCCCCCACTCCTCCACTTGCACCTGGCTGGATGACCTTGGGCAAGCTGTAGTTCTGATGAGAGCTGTTCTTGAAAAAGAGCCGTTTCTATCAAGAGCTCTCTCAGCTCCACCTGCCTCACAGGGTGTCTGTTGTGGGGAGGGGAAGGAGTTTGTAAGCCGCTTTGAGACTCCTCTGGGTAGTGAAGGGCGGGGTATAAATCCAATCTCTTCTCTTCTTCTTCTAGTTCTACAAGCACAGAAATAAATGGGATATCCCAGTTATGTATGTTTGTGTATACACACACACAAACCCCTTCTGACTAGGATAAAAGGACTCAGATCTCACTTTCTGCTCGTGTCTGATGAAGGGAACTTTTACTCTTGAAAGCTTGAACACATGGAGATGCTTTATACTGAATTAGACCTTTGGTCCATTAAAATCAGTATTATCCACTAAGACTGGCAGTGGCTCTCCAGGGTTTCAGGCGGAGGGCTTTCACATCACCTCCTACCTGATCCAGTTTGGCGTCATGGTTAAGTGCGCGGACTCTAATCTGGGAGACCGTGGTTTGATTCCCCACTCCTCCACTTGCACCTGGCTACATGATCTTGGGCAAGCCATAGTTCTGTCAGAGCTGTTCTTGAAAAAGAGCAGTTTCTGTCAGAGTTCTCTCAGCCCCACCCACCTCACAGGGTGTCTGTTGTGGGGAGGGGAACGGAAAGGAGTTTGTAAGCTGCTCTGAGACTCTGAGTGAAGGGCGGGGTAGAAATCTCGACAGGTCTTCTTCTTCTTTAACTGGAAATGCCAGGAAATTGAACCTGGGACCTTCTGCATGCCAAGCAGAGGCTCTACCACTAAGCCATGGCCCCTCCCTTTATATCCTGAAACTCTTTACTGGTCCCTAAGGTGCCACTGGACTGGAATCTAACTGCGGACCAACACAGCTTGGCACAGGGGGCGAATGTTCAGTGCCAGAGCTGCCACCAACCCGACAACGCTCCCTTTGCTCCCTCATACATTTATCTCCTAGCCAAATGATGACTTCAAAAGAAACAGCCAAACAGACTGAAGTACAGACTCTCACCTCCACATCATACAAGAATCTGAAGTTACTTGGGGCCTGTGACGCACGCTGTACCGCTTCCGCCAGCGCCACGGCTCCTTTCCCCCCCTCGGCCCAGTGGGTGCACTTCACAGCGTCGAAAGCTCCAGCTTCCTTGGCCAGCTGCATGACCAGCTGCAACTCTGCCTCCGTGTCCGACCTGTAAAAACAGACGTTTAAAAGTGATAGGGAGAACTAGGTGATTTTCCTCGGGCCCCGGCAAAGGAAATACACAGTGCATCTCCGACGCCTCTTTCTAAACTAGAAGTAATTAAGCTTGCGGAACTCACTGCGATGGGATGCAGTGGTGCCTACTAGGTTGGTTGGATTTAAGAGGGGATTATACAAACTCGTGAAACGACAGGCCCATCAGCAGGCACAATGGACTCAGTGGAACCTCCAGGTCGAGAGACAATGCCCATCTGAATAAGAACAAAAGAAGAGCCCTGCTGGATCAGACCAGTGGCCCATCTAGTCCAGAATCCTGTTTCACACAGTGGCCATCCAGATGCCTGCTAATGCCATTCAGCATCTGAAATCACTCCACTTTAAAAATATATATATATAGGATGGAGTCCGATTCTCGCTGTATCTGAAGAAGTGAGCAGTGACTCACGAAAGCTCCTGCCCTGCCACAAATTTTGTTAAAGGTGCTCCTGGACTCTTGCCCTTTTCTAATGCTAGACTAACATGGCTACCCATCTTGATCTTCCACCAGAATGATTAAGACAAGTTTTATTTAAGAGCATAAGAACATAAGAGACGCCAATGTTGGATCAGGCCAAAGGCCCATCTAGTCCAACACTCTGTCACACAGTGGACAAAAATACCAGGTGCCATCAGGAGGTCCACCAGTGGGGCCAGGACATTAGAAGCCCTCCCACTGTTGGCCCCCGCAAGCACCAAGAAGACAGAGCATCTTTATTTTACTTCATTTATAACCCACTGTTCTTCCCGACGGGGGCCCAAAGGGACCCATAACATTCTCCCCTCCTTCACTGTATCTTCACAACAGCCCTGCGAGGTAGGTTAAGCAGAGTGTGTGTGACCCAAGGTCATCCAGCAAGCTTCTGTAGCAGAGTGGGTCTGTGGCTCAATGGTAGAGCCTCTGCTTGGCATGCAGAAGGTCCTAGGTTCAATCCCCCTTGAGACCAGGCGATAGGTGATGTGAAAGACCTCTGCCTGAGACCCTGGAGAGCCGCTGCCAGTCAGAGTAGTCAATACTGACTTTGATGAACCAAAATACTGATTCAGTATAAGGCAGCTTCATGTGTGTTCATGTGTGCGTGTTCTTCCTACTGGGGACACAAAGTGGCCTATAACATTCTCCCCTGCATCCTCACAACAGCCCTGCAAGGTAGGTTAGGCTGAGAGTATGTGACTGGCCTTGATATCGACCTTGTAATGATGCATATTTTAACCTGAATTTCTTCTGCCGTCCCCTATAAGGGACTATGTACGAAGAAAAGCAGCTGCTTATCCAGATCCAGAGGGCATACTGAGAGAAAAAATAAGAGTTTAAGTGGGGATTTTTGGATATGAAATAATGAAAAAAGCCTTTGCCTGTGTCCGACAGGGCACTTTCATCAGCGCCACTCCGCGATTAATGCTGGAAGGGAGAATCGGCGTGGAGGGAAGAAAGAGTGAACCTATGACCAAACTGAGCGCTTCTAC